CCCTCCAGTATTTGGAAAATGTCTCCTTCAAAACCCAATCTTTTTAAACCGAAATCTAGATATCCTTGATCAGCTCATCGAGCTCTATCGAATCATGTATAGTATAGCCCAAAATAAAATAGTGCTTAAAGTTCGAATTTGGTGCGCCTTATTAACTGACAAAAGCTATGTTCAATTATTAGTCGTTGTTCGAGATTTCTTACTGTTGTGGGTACTGTCATATGTTCCATAAATGGCTGTCGAACAACTGTAAAATCATTGCTCGTATCATATCGACCTGATTTAATTAATTGGTTTGTAGCTGCTTGGTAAGCTAAGTTTGCTGCACGCACAATTTCACGTTGATCTTTATTCACAGCACAGTCACACAAGAAACTAAACTAAACAGATCAGTTGAAGCGACGACAAATATTGACCATAATGAAATATTACTTTTGCATTGTCTGACATTGTATACCTTCGTGTAAATCTTCTAACTCAGCAACATTCAATACAGTAACAAAGTTAACCAAGGTACGAGGCATATTTGCGTGTAAATAATCAAGAGATGTTCGAACATTATTAAGATAATTAGTAGCACTATAAGCATTCTTCAAGAAGAGAAAAAAACAAATTGATGAGATAAGCGAGCTTAAGTATCTATTTTTCTTTTAAACTACTGAGAGTGTGTTCTTCTGTTTTAGAAATTGTCTAATGAGGGAACTGCCCTAACTGTCAAATCGCTTTTTGGGTGAAACATAGTGGATTATAGGTTATCGACTATGCTGATTCGGAATATAACAATCATTTTGGCCGATAGGTTTTCAGAGATCGGATTTCTGGAAAACCAGTTTTTCAACTCCTAAAAAATAACCAAACCTTTTTTAATGAGGCAGGATTGTAGCCTGCAGATTTCTGATTAAAATGAGACCTCTCCGATCTCTACACAGTCTTTTTTTGCAAATTTGTAGAATTTACGAGAAAAGCCCTAAATTAATTTCTTCTTATTTCTGTTGCTTTGAGCTGACAACGAACATTTAGGGCTTTTCTTACAAACTCTATAACTTTGCAAAAAAAGACCGTGTAGAGGTCGGAGAGGTCTCATTTTAATCAGAAATCTGCGGGCTACAAACCTGCCTCATTAAAAAAGGTTTGGTTATTTTTTAGGAGTTGAAAACTGGTTTTCCAGAAATCCGATCTCTGAAAATCTATCGGCCAAAATGATTGTTATATTCCGAATCAGCATAGTCGATAACCTATAACTCACTATGTTTCATCCAAAAAACGATTTAACAGTTAGGGCGGTTCTCTCGTAATGGTGATATAGTGAGGCAGTACAGTTTATAATAAGTATCTTTATGTTAATTAAGAACATGAGATTCTTCAGATAAAGATTTCGTGGGACTTGATTAAATTAATGAGTTTCGATAATGATTAATGCGACAGACATTGAGAATATTGATTATATTTACTTACCGTATCCTTGCAGAAGTCACATAAATCATTTCCGCCAATGAAAAATGTCACTAATTTCCAGTCAGAATCAAACTTGCTTCCCAAAGCACGCTTCATACGTTCGACTAACATATTAGCTTGTCCAGGCATATCTCTACACGAGAAAAACTTCAAATGAAAAATTACGACATACTATAAAAAAATTTGATTACCTTGATACTGCACCTGGTTTGGCGACATTGAAGGCTGCATTATCCGAATTTTGATTTCCAGTACCACTTGAGTGACCAAATAATGCTGAATTGAATTTTCGCAGAATATCTATTTTGAAAAACATAAATGTTATACAAATTCCCAAGATTTAGTTTTAATTTTTAATACTTGGTAATGTAACTACTTGCTCGAGATTTGAATCACCACCCATACTGAAAAAGTTACGTCATCTTCATGTATATTAAATGTAGAGAGAGAGAGAGAGAAGAAGAAGGTTGCATACCACCACGCAACACCACGATATTCGATTAATAAACCAATAATTGAAAATGCTTTAGCACCATTGGCGGCTGTCAAACTGTCACCCATAGCTCCCACATGTTTAATATCGCCTGGTCTCAAAGCATGAACTAAAATGCAACTCAAAGTTTTCTAAATGATGAACTGATAAAAAATGGTTTTCGTATCACTGACCAGATGTTGGTATAGTTGGTGAGGGCGCTAAGTCTTTGCAAGTGAGTTGTATACCATACCGAGCAGTAGGAGCCAACGGACCCTAACATATAATTAACGCACTTAAATTTGCTTCACATAAGTCTGACAAAACT